ATATGTGGTAGAAAATTTATAGGGCAAATAAGTCTTTTTGCATTCACTAAAAAACAAAAATATGGCAATTGGTGAAAACCATTAGAGCATCATTAATGGTAACCCTTTAAAATGGTCTTAAGTAATTTTTAAGATTAAATTTAATAAAACCAGTTTTGATACTTCCAATATAAGTTTCATAAAGCTCTTCCTATAGAATTTTTTTATGAAATGTTCACTAAATTAAATAATATTTTAATCACTTTTAGTTTTAAGACACTCTTAAGAATGTGTGCATTAATGATGCTCTTAGAACTATGACAATTTTGAAAAGTAATTTAAAAAAAAAATGGCAATTAGTGTAATATTCACATTTTTAATCATAAGCTATGTGGGACAATGTTATAAAGTCCTTAACCTTACGAGCTATATTATATATCGCATGATTTTCTAAGTATAATGATTTTGGACTAGTGACAATCACTATCAAGGTTTTTCTTACATCAATCACTCAATCAACGAGTAGATTATCAATAAAGCAAAGAGGTTCATTTGACATCAACTAAACCCACTAATCACGTAAACTCTCTTTACTGTTCTTCTGAATTTCCACAAAGTAAATATGATTTGAAAATCCAGCTATATAAACAAGAGATCCATGGATCAACAATACTTCAGAGATTAATCACCCAAAAGAAAAAACTTGCGCTTGACGAACTCAATGGAAAACAAGACTTCATTAGCGAGTCTCTTGATCATGCCATTCCTTAAAAGAGGAGGGAAAAACAACCAACCACTAGTCACAACTACAAACCCTACAGTGAGCAGTCGTGAAAGCATCGGACTTATCCGCCAACGTCGCGCAAACGGCCTCTTCTTCACAGTCACTTCCGCCGCGGTGCAAACTCCATGTAATACAAAGAACCAAGTGACCTCTCCTGTAGGCATATCACGGGTAAAATAGAAAAATATGAGCTCGTGAACAGCACCAGAGACGAGGAACGCTGCGAAAACCCCTAAGAAGAGAGCCTGATCAGAGTTCATTTTCCGCTCGGTGATTTTCCGCACTGGGAAGTAAATGGCTTGACGGAGGATTGATGGGACCATGAGGTTCCAGCGGCGACCCAGAAGTCTTGAAGAGAGGTGGCTAAGTATGGTTCATTAGACTGTGGCTCTAGATCGCAACCAAGAGTGATAGAGATTAAAAGTTTGACGAGCATTAAGACAATATCAAGCTCCAAGTACATGTGCAGAGAATAGAGAACCAATAGCACAATCGGTGAAAGATGGTGTTTGTAATCATACGTATGTAACAACATACCAAAGATGACAGCTTTAATGGCGAACGCCCATTTGGGAATCTGGTTTTGAGATGTAGAGTTTTCTCGAGGCTTGATGGGTAAGCAAGTGAAGCAGATGAATCGGGTGAGATTTGGGGGAAGTGGAAAAAGAGGACCCTGATCAAAGGAGAAGAGTATGAGTTTGAAACTTGCGAGCCATGTGAGGAAAAAAGCTGTGGAACCAGAGAAATGAATAGAGGAGAAAAACGGAGGAAAGACAAGAAACAGAGCACAAACAGGAAGAACAGAGAGTAATCTAAAGACACCAGCTTTGATTCTGGTTGATAAGTAGTATCAATAAGATACTGAGATTATTGCAGAAACCCAAACCTTGATCAAGTTCTTGAGTTCTTCCTCCATCTCTCTAGATCTTCTTTTTCCAATCACCGAGGTTTTGACTTACCATTGATTCGAAAACTACTAATCGGACGAATCATACATACACGTTCTGAAAAAAAAATTGGAGAAATTTGACGTTACAGCTACACACATCGTTAGGACACATGAACCTTGTTTTCTAACTTTAATGAGAAGCCATAACATTTATTATTAAGCAGCCAGAAAAAAGGAGATAAGGAAAATAAAGTATTGGGGTTTTATTGAAACGGCTTCCGATGATGCTATATATATTTTTTTTTCGTCTCAAAATTTTATTTAAAACACATCGAAATTCAGATTAGGTTACACGGTAAAATACAAGGTAGAAAACCAATCCATAGCATAAAAACACCAACCCCAGAAAGTAAACACACATCTATAGGGAGCATAAAACAAACATAAATATAAAGGCAATCCTAGGTCAAAACTCTTTGTTATGTATCATTTCTTTTATAATTATTTATTAGTATAGAATGCATCATTTCAATTATCTTAAATTTCTTTTTATTTTCATTATATATTAGCTTAGGATCCGCATTATATGCGGGTAAGCACATTAAAAATTATTAATAGAAATATTTAAGCTTTAATTAATAATCCGTTAAATTACAAAAATATTTTAAAATACTAGTTAAACATGGGTC